ATCCTTCGTCTGTGCAGGCCGTCAATCGGCTTATTCGGGCTCTCGCCCCGGATCATTTCTTTTCCAGTTTTGTCATCATTCAGGGGTGCATTCTCCTCGCCATCAGGATTCCATGAATGCCTGTGCACCCAACATCGTGCTTCCCCTCACCTCTTTCACTGGGGGTGAGCTGCGCATTTGCCAGGCCGCTGACTCCATCGCCGACCATGCTTCGCTGCCGTCGCAGTTTATTGATCTGGCAGTGGCGTCCGGCCCGGTTTCGTTCAATGCCAAGGATTGCCCTCACGAGGTGTTGCCCTCCCAGGGGCTGCGCGTTGTCGTTGCGGCCTATACTTTGCAAGCTGCACTGCATCTTGAGGCGTGTCCCGAACTTCGGGCCTCCTTGACTGCACTTGCATTCCCTTTGCCGCCAGTGGACTTCGTGTACTCACCGGAGGATTTGGCTCCTCGTGCGCTTCCGCTGTCGCCTGGTCAACGGGCCCTGCTTCCATCGCCTCCGGCTTCAGTCGGGTCCTCGGCTCTTTCCGCATCTGCTACGGCCACTGCACATTCCTGCGACGACGGCTCAAAGCACGGCACTTTGCTGGGTCCATGCCATCTTCCCTCTCCCACTCCAAGGCTTTTCTTGGATCTATTTGCGGGGGCTCGTGCTCCTGTCACGTCGGCCATTCACTCTCTTGGTTGTGACTGTTTCCCGGCAGTGGACCTGATCATTGATGCATCACGCGACATCTTAGACGATGCATTCTTCGATTTGCTTTGTCGCATTGCTGATTCGGGTCTGGTCGGCGCTGCTCTAGACGGCTCCCGTCTGCTCTAAACATAGCATCTTGCGGTTGCGTCCTGGGGGCCCTAAACCGTTGCGCGACTTTGAACATCCTACCGGACGTCCCGATTTGAACTGGGAGGACTCGGCTCAACTTCAGGAGAGTGCATTGCTCCATGACCGCACACGACTCTTGCTCTCCAGGGTCAGTGCCGCGGGAGGTCTGATAGTTCTGGAGAACCCTGCCTCTTCGCTTACTTTTCACGATCCGCTCATGATGAGCTGGATTGAGTCCGAGGCCCCCTTTTGTGCGCAGGTGGCTTCATGTATGGTGGGTGCATCCTTTTCCAAATCCTGGATGTTTGTTTCCAATCAGCCATGCATCTTGGATTTGGCTCGCACGTGCACGCATCCGCCCGGCACCCACGCATCCTTCGTGGGCAAACGCGATGGATCGGGTTTTCTCAGTCGGCGCACCGCTGAATATCCCGATCAACTGGCATCATCGCTGGCGCGCTTGTGTGCTCCATTTCTGACAAGCTTGGGCTCCTGCAGCGATTTCTCCCGCTGGCGTGCTTTACTTCCATCAGATCCCGAGTGGACTTTGCATTCCTGCAGGGTTGAGGATGGTGGTGGTACCACCAGCACTGCCTGTTGGCTTCGGCCTCCCTCTGACGATGTGCTGCTCGACCTTCGACGTCTGTGGTCCCGCCGCCTTTTCGACACTGGTCTCTGCCTGCGTATCGCTGCACATCTCCAGCTTGCTCCGAAGGAACCTCCCCTTTCGGACCCAGAGGTCGCTCCATTCCTGCAGGATCTCTTTGACGTCTTTCAGGTCCCGACGACCTCCCAAGAGGATCTTCTTTTCATTGCACCTGGTCAACCCCTGCGCCTGCGCCTCCTGAAATTCTTGCTTTCTAAGCTTCAGGATCCGGAGGTTTCTCTTTGCGACCAGTTGGAGTCAGGTGTCTCTCTGGGAGTTGGATCTGCATTGGAGCCCTCGCCGCACTGGCCCGTACGCGATGCCGAACATGTTATACCTGAACTGCATATCTGCGAAGGTGCCTGGCAG